ATCTTGAAATAATTACCACTGTAATTGACCTAAACCAGGGCTGCTGTGGTAATTTAATTTTCAGAATGAAATTACGGCGAATCTAAAGGAAACTCTTCAGACTTCCTTTCACATTTCACATTTGGCAAATCCAGATCTTTCTGTGAAACGGGACGTTCCCAGTGCTCAGCAACCACCAGAAAACCAGATACACAAACACACACACACATATGAGCACATAAACCCAGGGGTCGGGACTTACATTATTTGTGGATGAAACTTTTAAAGATCATTCTTACCTTTCCAAAACTCCCTTTACCAATGGCCCGGAGAATCTGAAAATGGTCAAAGTTGACTGCAAAAGAAAAAGGGGGGGAAAAAAGTCAGACGTGCCAAACTTTGTGTTGGTTCTCGCAAGTTCTTACCTACATACCTAACCATTTATTCCAAAAGGCTTATGGCTTCAATTGCCTTATATTGGCCGTGGCAGCACTCCACCACTGAATGGATGCTTCTCGGCACATTCCATCTTCCCATCCCCCAGTTAACACTCCCCGATGGGTACAGAGAATAACAGACATCCTTTGGGCCCAGGGGAGGGGATGACAGAGAAAAACTTGGACTCTTGGATTGCCAAGTTCTTGTACATGCTGTTGTCCCCTTCACCCGGATGACCTTTCCCCACTTCTGGTCCCCATCATGTCCTCCTGACACTCTAATCTCACACACGCAGACATCAGCTTACCTGTGTGAGGGTCCAAGAAGCTGACCCTGACTCCTGTATGGAGACTGGACCCTCAGCTGCCCTGACCATGTCATGGCTCTTGTCTGCCTCACCCCTGGCGCCGGGAGACGAGGACAACAATCCCTCCCCCTCCTCCTGGTGTTGTATCCTGTCTCCTGTCTCTCCTTCAGGCCGTATTTCTTGATGGGGTTCCGTATTCTTGCTATTTCCATTTCCTCACACCAGTCTGGCTTCTCCCCATACCCCTACAGCATAACAGGCCAACAGTGTGTAGCCACTGAGTCCAACAGACACCTTTTTGTTTCCCTTCCCACGCTCTCCTTTTGGAAACACCAGCTTGGCTTCCATGGCCCGGCACCCTCTCACTTTTCCACCTTGTTTCAGCTCCTTGTGCCCACACAGCTTCGTCCTCCCAAACGTTAAACACGGGAGCACATCAAGTCTCCATCACGCAACCTTTCCCTTCGCACTGGCGGCAAAGTTTCCATCACCACCTAACTGCCGATGGTCGCCGAGGCGTCTCTGGTCTCCAGGCTGTACGGACCCTCCCAGGCCACCTCACAGCTCATCTCAGAGGCTTCCAAGACACCTGAACTCAACAGGTCCAAAGCAGAACCCAGGACGAGTGGTTCACCCTTCACCTGACCTCACAAGCTCAACGCCTGGAACTCATCCGTGACTCTTCCCCCAACCCCATAGTCAGTTCTTCAGCAGTTTCGGTCAGGTTTACCTCCTCGCCATCTCTCGCATCTGTCTGCCCCTGGGGCTACCCTCGGCTCGGATCCACCATCATCTCCTGCCTGGACCACCACGGTGCTCTCCCAACATCCCCGGACTCTCTTGCCCTGACATACGGACTCCATGCTGCAGGCAGGGGGTCTGGCTCACCCTCTGCTCACACCCCTCTAGTGCCCATTCCATTGCTCTCAGGGGACAGAGCAAGCTCCACCCACCATTGGGTGCCTGTCACGCCCCCTGCTTCACCTCCACCAGACCCACGCCCACTGAGCTCCACCCACACACACGCACACACCCACACACACACACACACGCACACACACACACACACACGTGCACACGAGCTTTCTTTCTCCTTGCCCTACACCTGTGAACGGCCTCTCCTTCCTCCTTGAGCACACAGGATAGCTGCCCTCATGCTACAGGCTGCCTGCTTGCCCATCACACACTCTCACAGCACTGCGGGACTTTCCTTCAAAATACATCATTCTGTATAACTTTACATGGGGCTGTGGATTTCATTAAGATCACTCCCCCCCACCCCAACTCTAAGCCCCTGAGGTCAAAGGCCGTGTGTGTTTTTCTTCCACTGTATCCCGGACACCTAGCAGTGTTAGTACACAGTTCAGTCTTCAACAAATATTCCTCAACTAAAGGAATGACTGAGAGAAAATCTCCATGCTCATGGTGCCAAATACAACTCCTGGTACATAATGAGCACTTGGGAAATATTCTTTAATTAGGTTGGATTACAGCCAGTTTCCAATAAGTAGGAAAGACATGTTATTTACAAAAGATAAAGTGAATTGATTAGTTCACTACATATTGGGGACGAGGATGTGGGGAAGTAAACGGATACCATTAGGTCCTTGGATATTAAACTTTATACAACAGAAGATAATTATGTTAAGTTGTGTCCCTGCCAAGCCAAAGTCAGAATCGAGTGTGCGATCTAATAACACGTAATGTGCTTAGAATAGAAAGACAGGGTTAATGGTTAACTTAGCAAAACCTTGGTGCTTTGACCTAGATTGGTTTCCTTGGGGAATAACCTGCCGGGAACAGAAATTCCACATGTTCGCATCTTCCCCACTCACCAAACTCAAGGGGGAGAGTGATGGGCTTGGACTGCACTTGTTACGTAACCAGCAACAAGCTAGGAACTGTGCATGGCCTGTCATGAGCCCCCCAGGTCCCGCGAGGCAGGCGCCGCTGCTGGCATTTGCCACCTGCTCCCCCATCAGCGCTCCACATGGCAGCTCCCCTGAGGCCCCAGGAGGCGCCACGCTGCCGTGTCGCTGTGCTGTGGGTCCACCTGGCTGGCAAGCCTTCCTCCAACTCCCCTTATTCTTGGGAAACTCCTCCTCGGCCTTGGACGTGCATGTCTCCTGCTCTCTGGGGAAGCCTGCCCCCACCCCCCACACCACCTTCTCCTTGGGGCTATCTCTAAACCTTCGACGGAGACCAGCAGAACCCAGGCTGGAGTCAGACTGCTTAGGTCCACACCCAGCCCTGCCACAGTCTGGGTGGCCTTGGACGCGTCACTTGGCCTCTGTGTGCCTCACTCATGCGCTCTATAAAATGGGGGACATGGTGCCTGCCTCCCAGAAAGGCAACCTCTCACAAAGCCCCAGCTGTCTGCATTGGGGGGTGCTGAACCATCCTCCCCTGGGGGGGTACTGCCCTGAACACCCTGGCCGCTTGCCCCCCAAAGGTGGCGAGTCGCCTGAGTGGAGAGCTGAGAGACTCCACTCAGAAGGCAGGGNTGGATGGATGGATGGATGGATGGATGGATGGATGGATGGATGGATGGATGGATGGAAGGATAGGTGAGTGGGTGAATGGATAGATCTTTGGGTGGATGAGTGAATAAACAGATGAATGAATCCAAGAATGAAGAAATAAACCTAAGCTGGCTAATTTTATATCAGCTTTAACACAAATTGCCAATAACAGGACAAGACATAGACTTAAGAGAAAACTCCATGACAAGGCTCCTGTTCAACCCAGAACGCCACGGTTTTCCAGAAGAATGAGTGCCATGCAACATCATGAGCCTTGTCAAGCCTTGTCGTTCCATCCATCAACAGTGACATGTCACATATGGTGAGATGTTCTGGGGATTTAAGTGGACATGACACCCTGCTGTCCCGGTGCCCCGCCTATGTCCCCACAAATGTCCCTCCATGCCAGACCCGTGCCTGCCTACTGCTACCACCACCTACGGAAAAGCACATGTAGTTAAGGCCTCTTCGCACGCGCTACTGCCTAGTAGGGAAAGCGCGCGAGCAGTGAGGGAATCAATGCTGACCGAGTGAAGGTGTGGATTCTGTGCTGGGTACTCCACTGTATCATCTCCTTTATTCTCACCACAGCCCAATTCACAGGTGAGAAAACAGAGGCTCAGCCTGCACCTGGCTGCCACGAGAACCCTCGTGCGCCTGACTCTCGGCTGCATGTCTTGCTCCCTGTGCCACACCAGGCTGCCCGGCAGGTTCATAACCCCCGCTGACTGACTGCCCAGTGGGCATTCCCCGAGGGAAATCATTGTGTGCCTGAGGATATTGTGTAAGGATGGGCTGCTCCTTGAAACACAAACGAATCCTCGACTAAACATGGACGAGTCCTCCAACACCCCCTAACACCTCAGGAGGGTGTGGGGAGTAGCCGATGGCACAGATGGTGAACTTGGTTAAAGGGACAGATAAATGAACAAAGAAATGTGGTATACAGGCACAATGAAAGCCTGAGAAAAGATTCTATAGCATGCTACAACATGGATGGACCTTGAAGGCATTGCCCTAAGTGACATAAGCCCGTCACAGAAAGACAAATACTGCATGATTCCGTGTATCTGAGGTCTCTAAAACAGTCAAATTCATCGAGTCAAAGAGTGGAATGGTGGTTGTCAGGGACTGCGGGGTGGAGGGGGTGGGCGGGGGAGACATGGCAAGTCACTAACTGATGGGCGTAAGTTTAATCCAGCAACATGAATAAAGTCTAGAGATATGCCATACAACACTGTACGTATTTTTGTCTGTAGTCAGCAAAAATATACTGCTCATTTAAGATTATAAGAGGGCGGATCTCATGCTAACTATTCTTTCCCAACAAAANCTCTACAGGAAACTACTGACCTTCACACAGACAGCAGGGAGGACCCGGCTGCGCCAGGCATCACCATGAAACACTTCCATCAGCCACTTACTCAGCAAATAGTTACCGGGTGAGAAAATTAAGATCCCCGGAGTGGATACACACTTGTTGAAGTGATGAATGAGCGTGTGCTGTGTGCCAGGCCCTGTGATGGGGACTGGGAGCCAGCAGTGAACAGAACACAAACTGACCCTCCATACGTGGCGCTGACCTGGTACAAGGAGGCAAACAACCCATCAGTCTGTAACTCGATGGTAGAAAGCGGTAAGTTCTATGAAGACAAATAACTCAATGTGTAGTAGTTTCCTGGTGCTGCTGCAACAAATTATCACAAACATAGTGGCTTACGTAACACAAACTTCTTATCTGACAGTCCCCAGGTCGTACGTCTGCCACAGGTCTTACTGGACTAAAGTCAAGGTGTCAGCAGGGCGGGCTCCTTCTGGAGGCCCCAGGGGAGAACCCGTTTCCTGCCTTTCCAGCTTCTAGAGGTGCCTGCAATCCTTGGCTGATGGTCCCATGTCACTCCAACCTCTGTTCCTACCATCAGCTCTCCTCCTGTAATCCGCCCGCCACCCTCTTCCCCGTGTAAAGACCTTATGATGACACGGAACCCACATGAACAATCCAGGATCATCTACCCATCTCAAGGTTCTTCATTTAACCACTTCTGCAAAGTCCCTTTTGCCATATCACATAACATACACAGCTTCCAG